CTTTCTTCTCCTCTTTTCTTTTCTTCTTCATCACCCTCAACCTCTTCTTCTTCTCCTTCTTCCTCTTCTCTTCTCCCCCTCTCTTCTCTCTTCCTCTTTTTCTTCTTCTTCTCCTTCCTCTCCTTCTCCTTCCTTCTCCTCCTTCTTCCTTCTCTCTCTCCTTTTCCTTTTATTATTATTGCTCCAAACAAAGCGACATAAAAGAATCTAAAGAGAAAACGTGATTCAAATAATTTTCCAAGAAATCATATCATATATATCTGTACAATCAGTGTGTTTACGTTTGTGTGGATGTGAGTGTATGTTTGTATATTTGTATGTTTGTGTGTGCGTATATCTACCCATCAGTATGTACGTGTTTCTATATATTTGTATATCTGTAATTTGTATTTGTATTTGTATATCTATATATTTGTATGTTTGTGTGTTGGCATATCTACCCATCAGTATGTACGTGTTTCTATCTATGTGTATGTATATATACACCTACCTCCTTACCCTCACTCTAGTATATCATATACGTAGAAAACATACCGTTCCGTTGTAACAAACGTAATTAACTTTTTCTTTCTTTCTTTCTTTCTTTCTTTCTTTCTTTCTTCTTTTCTCCTTTTCTTTCTTTCTTTCTTTCTTTCTTTCTTTCTTTCTTTCTTTTTTTCTTTTTTTTTTTACAAAATCAACAATATCCTAGTTCAGTCATGTACATCAAAGGGACATTAGCTGATCACTAGTTCTTCTCTTCCCTTTACGGTTCAATTATATTTTTTTTATTTCTTTTTTATCGCATCACATAATTTATCGTTCACTCTCTTCGTAGGTTCATTACCCGGATAATGAGTCCATCAGCGTTTATGGCCTGAATTCGATTTTTTTTCTTTTTTTTGTCTGTTTGTTTAATTTAGTTCTTTTCTTTCGTTTTTGCTTTTCGTTTAGTATTTTGCTTTTGTTTTCGTTGTGGCTTTCGAACGTTGCTTTTGCAGAGAGAGAGCAGAGAGAGAGAGAGAAGAGAGAGAGAAGAGAGAGAGAGAGAGAGAGAGAAGAGAGAGAGAGGAGAGAGGAGAGAGGGAGGAGGAGAGGGGAGAGGGAGGGAGGGAGGGGGGAGAAGAAGAAAGCCCTGAAAACAAAGAATGAGAGAGGAGAGAGAAGAAACGAGAAAAAAAAAAAGAGAGAAGAAGAAAAAACGAGGGAGATAAAAAGAAAGGAAGAAAAAAAGAAACAGAAAGGCAAGAGAGTCATACTGGAACCCACGGTCGTCATCTGTTATGATGCTGTGTACTCTGGGAGGTCCCTTCAGTACGCTCATCAGACGCCCTGTTCGACTCACTTACGGGGCTCTCGTCTATCCTCTCCTCCCTCTCCTCTCTCTTCTCTCTCTCCTCTCTCATCTCTCTCTCATCTCCTCTCCTTCTTCCTTCTCTCTCTCTCCTCTCTCTCTCTACCTTCCTCTTTCTCTTCTTATCTCTCTTCTTCTCTTCTCTTTTCTCTTCTTTTTCTTCTCTTCTCTCCTTTCTCTCTCTCTCTCTCTCTCTCCTCCTTCCTTCTCTATCTCTCTCTCTCTCTCTCTCGCTCTCTCTCTCTTCTCTCTCTCTCTCNCCAATGAGGAAAGCGGCGTGAGTTCCATTCACGTGATTATCAGCATGAAAAATGCATGAGAAAATGTTCTCCTCTTCGCCCCACCACCACCTCCTTCTTCTTCTCTTTCTTCTTCTTCTTCTCCTTCCCACCTTCTTCTTCCCCACTTCTTTTTCTTTTTCTTCTCTTGTTCTTCTCCTTTTTCTTCTTCTTCTTCTTCTTCTTTCCCCACCTTCTTCTTCTTCTCTCCCTTCACCACCTTCTTCTTTTTCTTTTTCTTCTTCTTCTTGTTCCTGCTCTTCGCTTCTCTCCCATCCCCACCATCTTCCCTTCCTTTGTTCTTCTCTTTTATCCTTTTCTCCCCACCCTCCTTCCCCTTCCTCACTCCCTCTTTCTCCCTTTCTCTTCCCCCCTCCCACATTCCCCTCTCGGGACCTCTCTCCCTCTCTCCTTCCTCCCTTTCCCTCCTTCTCTCCCTCTCTCCCTCTTCCCTCTCTCCTCACCTCCCCCACCCCTCTCCCTTTTCGTTGCAGTCGTTACAGTGTTCTTTTCGGATTGAAATGCAGCGGCGCAATTATGTGCATGTTGAAAAATGAAGATGAGCGGAACTACAGCATTTGCTTCTCCTGTTGTGACGTTGATTGCCAGTTAGGAGCAAGATTTTTTTTTCGTCTTTCTCACCTGCGGGTTGTAGTTACGTGCTTGTTAACTTGATGGCGTTCACATGGTTGTTTGGGGAAAGAGAGAGAGAGAAAGAAAGAAAGAAAGGAAGAAAGCAAGAAAGAGAGAGAGAAAGACGCACACACGCACGCACGCGTGCACATACACATACACAAACACGCGCGCGCGCGCACACAGTACTATCACAACATTGAAATAATTGTTTAACAAACAAATAAACATTACACAAAACACCAACGCCCCCCCCCCCCCCCCATTTCTCACGCACTCCTCACCTCCCTCCAGCCACATCACCAACACCACTCCTCCACCTCCACCACCAACCCTCTCCTACCCGAGGACTCCAAAGGATCCCTCCACCCCCGAAGGACCCCCCCCCCCCACAAGGACCCCCCCCCCCCGGCAAGGACCCCCAAGATTAACCTCGTGGAAACCAAGGATGTCTCGAGCCTCTTGAAGTCCTCTCGGCGGTTCCCTTTCCACGCCGCCGCTGCCTGAGAAGGATGAATGGCGGGAGGTTAGGATCTTATAAATCCAGTTCGGGAACCGGTGGCGCATGCGGTTGGGGTTGGGGGGGGGGGGGTGAGGGTAGGGGGAGTGGGGGATAGGAGGGGGGTGGAGGGGTGAGGGGGAGGTTGAGGTTGGGTTTGGGGGGAGGGAGAGGGTGTGTGGTCTTTTTTTTTACCCTCTTTTGTTTACGTTTTTTGGATTTATTTTTTGTCTTTATTAGTCTCATTTCATTTTCTCTCTCTCTCTCTCTCTTGCTCTCTCCCTCCCTCCCTTCTTTCACTCTCTCTCTCTTTCCTCTCCTCTCTCTCTCCCTCCCTCCCTCCCTCCCTCCCTCTCTCCCTCCCTCTCTCCTCTCTCTCTCTCTCTTCTCTCTCTCTCTCTCTCTCTTCTCTCTCTCTCTCTCTCTCTTCTTCTCTCTCTCTCTCTTCTCTTTTCTCTCTCTCTCTTCCCTCTCCCTCCCTCTCCTTCTCCCTCTTCCTCTTCCTCCTCTTTGGCTCTCCATCCGACCGCATGAGGAGGAGGAAGGAAGAAGAAGGAGGCGAGGAGGAGAGACAGATCGACCCAAGGCTGGATTCTGACTCTGACGGACTCTCATTTGGCGAGTCATCATCGGGGGGGGGGGGGGGGGAGGGAGAGGGGAGGGAGGGAGGGGGGAGGAGGAGAGGGGAGGTAACAGCTCTTATGGATCTTGGAATCACTCTTCTCTCTTCTTTTCTTTCTCTTTCTTTCTTCTTTCTTTCTTTCTTTCTTTCTTTCTCTCTCTCTCTCTCTCTCTCTCTCTCTCTCTCTTCTCTCTCTCTCCTCTCTCTCTCTCTCTCTCTCTCCCTCTCTCTCTCGTTCTTTTTTGTTTCCTTTCCTGCTCTTTCTTCTGTTCAGTTTTATTGCCGTTCTTTTACCTAATCTTCTTTTCACTCTCCATCATCCTCATCTTTATCCTCCCGCCTTCTCTCCTATCCACTTTCCTTTCCCCCCCCCCCTTCGTGTGTTTTCCAGCTGGGTGGATGCCAGAGACCAGGCCGGGGTGGAGGAGGAGGGATAAAGGGTGTGAGGGAGAGGAGAGAGAGAGCGAGAGAGAGAGAGAGAGAGAGAGAGAGAGAGAGGAGAGAGAGAGAGAGAGGAGAGAGAAGAGAGAGAGAGAGAGAGAAAGAGAGGGGAAAAGAGAGAGAGAGAGAAGGGGAAAGGAGAGAAAAGAGAGAGAGGAGGAGAGATTAAGAAATGGAGAAGACAATGAAAGAAAGAAAGAAAGAAGGGAAAGAATAAGATCAAGAGAGAGGGAGAGAGGAGAGGGGAAAAGGAGAGAAGCGAGATTGAAGGAGAGATTAAGAACAGAGAAAAGAAAGAAGAAAGAGAAAGAATAAGATCAAGAGAGAGGAGAGAGGAGAGGGGAAAAGGAAGAGAGAAGGAGAGATAAGAAATATGAGAGAGAAGAAGAAAAGAAAGAAAGGAAAGGGAAAGAATAGATCAAGAGAGAGAGGAGAGAGGAGAGGGAAGAGAAAGATAGAGAGAAGGAGAGAAGGGAACATAAGAATTAGATAGAGAAAGAAAGAAAGAAAGAAAGGGAAAAAATAAGATCAAGAGAGAGGAGAGAGGAGAGGGAAAAGGAGAGGCGAGGCGGATCATTCGTTTCAATTACCACGAGCGCGCGGAATAGAGCGGCGGCCTTCGCTCGCGGGGGATCTAGGAGGGGGGGAGGGGGGAGGGGGGAGGGAAGGGGGGGGCCGACCGTGCTTGTGTGGTGCTGGGGATGGTGGATCTGTGGTGGATTTATGGTGTGGTGGTGGATGGTAGGATAGGAGTGTTGGTGGATCTGTGGTGGAAGGGTTATGGTGGATGTGTGGTGGGGAGATGTAGGGAAAGGGATGGTGGATTTGCGGTGAAGGTGGTGGTGGGTGGATGGTAGGGAAGGGGATGGTGGATCTGTGGTGGGAGGGTTATGGTGGATGGTGTGGTGGGGGATGGTAGGGAAGGGGTATGTGGATTTGTGGTGGGAGGGTCATGGTGGAGGGGATGGTGGATGGTAGGGAAAGGGATGTGGATTTGTGGTGATGGTTGGTGCTGGAGGGTATGGTGGAGGCGATGGTGGATTTGTGGTGGATGGTGTGGTGATAGTAAAGGGGATGTTATGCTGTCTAGCGTGATGCTAAATTTACGGCAGTCTATGGGAATGGTAGATCGGCCATCACTGCAATCCCAAAATTTATAGATTTTTATGATATTGTGATGATGGTTGACGGGTGATGAGAGGCGTCCCGGCGTGCCCTTCTTGCCCCCAATGTGGTGTGGATGCCGACGGTTATTTAGCGATAGTTAATGGTGCGATCGACCAGCTGATGATGATGGTGGTGATGGTGTCATGTGTCCCTCAGAGGGTTGGTGATGATGTGAGCCAAGTGCATTTTTGGGGGGGAAGGGGCGGTAATGTCTTTTTTATCTGTTTGTCCTCTTATTCCCTTTTTTTTTTTTTTTTTTTTTTGCTTGATTTTTTTGTTTGTGTTTATTCGTTTCTTTGTTTTTATGAAGGGGAAACTTCAAGGAAAATGAATTGATTATGAAAAGTATGTTCATGACTCGAGATAGGACAGCATAAGAAAAGAGAATTAAAAAGGAACTAAAATAATTTTAAGATAGGACAGCATAAGAAAAATGAATTAAAGAGGAACTAAGATAATCTTAAGATAGGACAACATAAGAAAAATAAAATAAAAAAAAGAACTAAAATGATTTTACGAGAGGACAACATAAGAAAAATAAAATAAAAAAAGACCTAAAATAATTTTACGAAAGGACAGCATAAGAAAAAATAAAAAAAGGAATTAAGCTTATTTTTCTTTTCTATTTACTCTTAATTTGGGAGTAAGAGATTCAAATGCAAGATTACACAAGGGCGGCCGGGGATGTCTTGAGCAACTTGAGACGTCGGGAGGAGTCTTTTCGGAAAGGGATGGGAACCGCGAACGTGTCTCGGACATGTTGGTGACGTCTTCTGCGAGATCGTTTTTTTCTTTTTTTTTCTTTCTTTCTTTCTTTCTTTCCGTCTTTCTATTTGTTCTTCTTCTTTTTCGTCCTCTTTTCTTTTTTCTTCTTCTTTTTCGTCTTCTTTTCTTCTTTTTTCTTCTTCTTTTCTTCTTCTTTTTCGACGTCTTTCGCTTGTCTCACTACCATTAACACCATCGTCATCATTATTATTATCACAGTCATCACCATCATCATCACAGTCATCATCATCATCATCACTTTATATCCGTATATTCTCCTTCGTCTTCTTTTGCTATCTCACAGCCATTAACACCGTCTTCATTATTATTATTATCATCATTTTCACAATTATCATCATCATCTTCGCCATCACTATCATTATCATTATCAATCATCATCATCGTCATCACATTCATCATCATCTTCGCCATCACTATCATTATCTTATCAATCATCATCATCGTCATCATTCATCATCTTCGCCATCACTGTCATTATCATCATCTTAAATCATCATCATCGCCATCACAATCACCATCACTATCATCATCATCACCTTACATCCAAAGGAAATTACGACAGGAACAGAGATGGTTTCCAATCTCTTTTTCCCTTTGTGGAGGAGGGTGGGGTGGAGATGGGGGGATCTAGATTGGGAAAGGGGAAAAGAGGGGAGAGGGATGGGAGGAGGGGGAGAGGGGGAGATGAGGGAGGATTTAGGAGAGGGGTGAAAGGGAGAGGGGATGTCTAAGAGAGGGGAAAGGGGGAGGGGAAGAGGGAGAAAGGGGAGACCTTAGAGCCGGGGGAAAGGGGTAGGGAGTACCCAGGAGAGGGGAGAAGGGGAGGAGGGTACCCAGGAGGGGCGCTGTCAGAAGAAACCTCTCCCGAAAGCGACAAAAGAAACCGAGAAAGGCGTCAGGGGCGAAAACGGAAATTAAAGGGAAGCCAAAGAGAGGCGGCCGGCGCGGCGCCCCTCATTACGGCCCGAACAAAGGGCGTGGGGGGAAGGGGGCGTGGCAGGGGTCGGGCAGGGGGTGGGGTTGGCGACAGGGCGAGGGGCGGAGCGTGGCAGGGGTTGGCAAGGGGGGTGAGTGCCAGGGGTTGGGCAAGGGTGGGAGTGCCAGGGGTTGGCAAGGGTGGGATAAGGGCTGTGGCTATGGGTGGACTATGACAGTGTAAGTTATAGTGTAAGTGGTAGTGGCAGTGTAATTGGCAATGTCAGTGGAAGTGATAGTGTCAGTTTAAGTGTTAATGTCTGTGTAAGTGCGTGGCAGGTTCAGTAAGTGGAAGTTTCAGGACATGAGTCTAAAGTATAAAGCAAATCCACGAAAAGGAAAAATAAGGATAAAGGGATGAAGGGAAAATCCAATAATTAGTCCGATAAAAGCAGAACGCAAATACACGGAGGAAATAAATGGCAAAGGGTTGGATAAAAGAAAAGAGGAAGAGAGGAAGGAAGGGAGAGGGAAGAGAGTGCTGCCCCTCCCCCTCCCCCCTTCTCCCTCCCCCACTTCTCCCCCTTCTCTTCTGAGGATGAATTACACGCCTTCTGCTGTTTCTCCTCCTCTGATTCTATCGTCGTGACTTACGAAAACGGCGTCGGAAGGTATTTTTCCCGTCTCTCCTTCCTTCCTTCCTCCTGTCTTTCCCTTTCTGCTTCTCCCTCCACCCCTCCTGTTTTTTTTTTTTTTTCCTTTTTTTTTTTTTTTTTACTTCTTTGGTCACTCCCTCCTCCCCTTCTCTCCCTCTCTCTGATTCGTTTCCCCTTCATCCCTCCCTATTTTTTTCCCTGCTTCCTTCTTTCCCCAACTCTCCCCCCTCTTCCTCCTATTCTACCCAGTCTCTCTTTCTCTCCCTCCCTCCCTCCCATCCTCCCTCCGTCTCCCTCTCATTTCTCCCCCTTCCTGATTCCTTCGTCCCTCGTATTCCAAACCTCTCCCTCCCTCCCTCCCTCCCTTCCTCCCCCTTTCCTCTTTCCCTCCTTACTTCCTCCTCCTTCTCTCCCACCCTCGCTCCTCCCTCCCTCCCTCCCTCCCTCCCTCAATCCCTCCCTTTCTCTCCCTTTCTCTCCCTCTCTCCCTCCTTGTTACGAAGGAGGTTTTATTTCAGTTGAAGACCGCTGAATTATCCTCTATATTGTTGCCACGCGTTATGAAGAGGGCGTAAAGAATCGGGCGGGGAGGAAATCTGCTCGGGAGACCGCTTTCTCTCTCTCTCTTTTCTTTTTCCTTTTTCTTTGTCTCTCTCTCTCTTTCGTTTTTTTTTTTTTTTGTTTGTTTTTTTGCTTTGTTTGCTTCTTCTTTTATCTTCTCTTTTTTTCTTTTTTTTTCTTTTCTTTTCTCTTCTCTTCTCTTGATGGGAAAAAAGAGAGAAATAAGGAATTGAGGCGGGGTGGAGATGGTTGGAGGGAGGGGGGGGCAGGAGGCGAGGGGGAAGGGGTGGGGGTGGGGGAGGAAGATTGGCTTTGGGAAATTTACTCTGGATCATAAAAAATGGTGTGGGGCCAGAGGGGGCGCTGCATCTGAGGGGAAACCTGTGGGGGAGGGAGGGAGAAGGGGAAGGGGAAGGGAGGATGAGGGAGGGAAAACCTGTGTGGGGGAAGGGGGGAAGGGGAAGGGGAAGGGAGGATGAGGGAGGGAAAGCTGTGGGAAGGGGGGATGGGGGGAAGGGGTGGGGAGGGAAGGGGGATGGGGGGAGGGGAGTCTAAGTCGAATAAAGTGGGAAAGGGGGATTCCCATCTGTTTCTTTTTGTTCTTCCTTCTTTCCTCTCGTCTTCTCTATTCTCCTCTCCTCTCTAGTTTAGAGAGGGAAACTAGGATGAGGAGGGAGGGAGAGAGGGGAGAGGGAATAAAGAGGGCGAGAAAGGGAAGAAGGGAGATGGAGGAGCTGAAGGACGAGGAAAGAGACGATCTTAATTTACTTCTTGGGAATTACGATCTTGCAAGGAGAAAAGGCGGGCGATTAAGAGGATGTGTCGGAATGGGAAGAGGATGAGATGGAGGGCGATAAGAAGATAAAGAAGAGGAGGAGGAGAGAGAAGAAGGAGAGGGGGAGGAGGAGGAGGAGGAGGAGGAAGGAGGAGAGAAGAAGAAGAAGAAGAAAGAAGAAGAAAAAGAGAAAGAAGAGAGAGGAGGAGGAGGAGGAGAAGGAGGGAAAGAGGAGGAGGAGGGAAGAAGAAGAGGAGGAGTAGGAAGAAGAAGAGAGAGGAAAAAGAGAGTGGAAAGAAGAAGGGAGGAGGAGGAAGAACAGAAAAAGGAAAGAAAATAAGTGAGGAAAAATATGGATGCGATTTAAAAGATCAGGTAATGGAATCAGACACGAGTGGAGAAATAAAACGAATGAATACGTAAGTAACGGGGTTGAGATCTGCACGCCATCGCTTTCCGTTTTCACTATTTCCCAAAGTTAAAAATCCACGCCGGCAAAATGGAAGGAGACTAGGAAGAATTTTCGCAAACTTGGGTAATTATCCACTAATCTGATGTAAATATCTTTTTCCTAGGATGTAGATATCCACTATTCGTACATAGATATATCCTCATTATCAGATATATTCTCTTCGGATGGAAATATCCACTATTTGTACTTAAATGTATCCACACGCCATACACTTATACCCATTGCCCGTTCTGTATAAATATATATTCGTTATATACAAATACCTACTCGCGCTTCGGAAATATCCACTTATATCCACTTATAGGTATATGAATACCTAATCTTTATACACAAATATATCCACACGATATATACCCACTCGACATATACAGATTCCTACTCGCCCTTCGTAAATATCCAGTTATATCCACTTATAGGCATATGAATACATTATCTTCATACACAAATCCATCCGCGCCCATATATCCACACAAATCTATCCACACGATATAAACCCACTCGACATATACAGATACCTACTCGCCCTTCGTAAATATCCAGTTATATCCACTTAGAGGCATATGAATACATTATCTTCATACACAAATCCATCCACGCGCCATATATCCACACAAATCTATCCACACGATATAAACCCACTCGACATATACAGATACCTACTCGCCCTTCAGAAGTATCCACTTATAGGCATATGAATACCCAATCTTCGTACGCAAATATATCCACACGCCACATATCCACACAAATATATCCACACGATATATACAGATACCTACTCGCCCTTCAGAAATATCCACACAGTGACAAACACCCATCCATTTCACAAACCACACTCCCACACCCTTGGTTTTCACAAGCCACTAATTTTGTTTGTATTCGAAACAACAATAACAACCCAGGCAGGCCTATACCGTGACAGCCAAACCCTCCCCCCCTCCCCCCCAATGAACAATGAACAGCCCCGTAAATTTGTTCACTTGGTGTGGCCGCGTTTCCACGTCGGTCGGTGGGTTATTGTCATATATTTATGTATATATATATTTTTTTTTCTCACGTCTTGTCACTTCCTGAAATATCACAGCTGAGTGTAACGGAGGTGGATGGGGGAGGGGGGGTTGGGGTGGAGGGGAAGGTGGTGGGTGGGGAGGGGTTGGAGGTTGGGAGGTGGAGGGGAGTGTAGGGAGGAGGGGTGAATGGGGGATAGGAAGGAGGGGATGGAAGGATGGGAATGTGGCTGAGGTGGTAGGGGGGGGTTAGGAGAGAAGGGGGAAGGAAATAGGGAGAAAGTAGGGTGGGGGGAAGGAGAGGAAGAGGAGAGTTAGAAGGATAGGGGGTAGAGGGAGAGAAGGGGGAGAGTGTGAAAGGAGCGAGGGGTTAGAAGAGGGGGGAAAGGGAAGAAGAATAGGAGGGGGAAGGAATGATTGGGGAGTGATTTGTGATATCGTAAATCCGTTGGGAGGGATTAACCTGTTCGAGGTGTTGAGATTGGGCGATTGGTAGAAATCTATAGATGTATTTTTTTTTTTTTTTTATCAAGACAGATTTGTACTTCGCATCAGTTTTCTTATGGATATTATCTTTATTATTGTGCTTCCATTCCAGTCGGATTTCTACAAAGTAATTGTTCTTATTTTTTTCTCGATTCTTTTTTTTTCTTTCTTTTCTTTATTCTTTCCTTTTATCTTCTTTCTCGCCTTTCCTTCTTCCAAAGAAAACGAAAACGATCCTTTGTATGCGAAGACAGCCGAGGCTGGACCCCCCTCCTATCACCTCCTCCAGTCACTTCCTATCACCTCAAATCACCTTCTATCACCCCTACTATCCCCATCCCTATCACCTCCTCATCTCACCTCCTATCACTCCTCCATCATCACCTCCTATCACCTACTCCTATTATTCCTATCCTTCTATCACCTCCTATCACCTCCTCCTCCCTTCTATCACCTCCTCATCAGTCACCTCCTTCTATCACCTCCTCCAGTCACCTCCTTCTATAACCTCCTCCAGTCACCTCCTCCTATCAGGCCGTCAACAAGATCCCACCCAACACCTGGCTGCCAGCACTTCCACCTGCCAACACCTACCTACCAACAGGAGGGAACACGCCCCTTAGACCCCCATTAGAAGTGAGAACAAGGGACAATGCCTAACCAAGGGCGGCGATGGGGAAAGCAGGGGTCGGGGGGTGGCTGTCTTCGTCTTGGGGGGGGGGAGAAGGAATTGAGGGGAGGTAGGGTGGAGGGGGGGGGGGTAGGGGTGGAGGGTGAGGAGGGGGAGGAGGTGGGAGGGTGGAGGGGAGGTAGAGGGTTGAGGAGGTGTGGAGAGGAGAAGGTGGAGGGGAGGAGGGAGGGTGAGAGGAAGGAGAGAGAGGGAGGAAGGAGAGAGAGGGAGGGAAGGAAAGAAAGAGAGAGAGAGAGATTAGGAAAAAAAAAAAAGTTTTTCCCACCAAACCAAACCCGCTCTCCGTCAAAAAAAAAAAAAAAAAAAAGGAGGAATAAGAGGGAGCTTAAAAAAATCACCTTTCCAAACAGGAAACAGATAAGCTTCCCCTTTGAGACGTGCTTGTCGGAGAGGGGAAAAAAAGGGTAAATACAGAAGCTTGTTGACGGTGCCGGGGACTGTGGACTAGTCTGTCTGGCCCGTTAACCGTCGATGTTATCAGGCCCTCACTCCACTGCTGCAGGAGGGTTCTCGTGGGGGCGGTGGTGGGGGGAGGAAGAAGGAGGGAAGAGGGGTGAGGGGTAGAGGGTAGAGGGATGGGTTTTGTTGAAGATGGAAGGAAGGTGTGGGAGGGAATCTTGGGTTTTAGTGCCTTATTTTCCGTTTCTCTCTTCTTCTTCCTCCTATTTTCTCCTCCTCCTCTCTTCCCTCCTCTAAATTCCCCCATCCTTCACCACCACTTCCTCCCACCTACTTCCTCTTCCTCCTTACTTTACCGCCCTCTGCCCCCTCTTCCATCACCCACACCACCTCTAACTTCCTTAGCTCCTTCCTCCTCCTCCTCCCCTCCTCCTCCATCTTCTTCTCCTTCTTCTATTCCTCCTCTTCTTTCTCCTCCACCTCTCTTTCTCTCCATCTTCTTCTCCTTCTTCTATTCCTCCTTTCTCTACTTGCTCCTCCAATTATTTCCCCTTCCTCCTCCTCCTTGCACCTACTTCCTCCTCCGTCTACCTCCTCCTCTCCTCCTCTAACCTCCTCCATCCTTCTCCTTTTCTATTCCTCCTCCTTTCTCTACTTTCTCCTCTATACTATTCTCTACTTTCCTCCCTCTCCTCCTCGTCTCCTCCTCCTCCTTCCGCCTCTCGTTCCTACCTCCTCCTCCCCCACTCCTCCTCCTTCCTCCTCCACACCTTCTCCGTTCTTCTATTTCTCTTTTCTCTTTCTCTCGCGGCTCCTGCCTCCTCCTCCTCCCTCCCTTCCGCTTACCTACTCTTTCTTCTCACACAATGAAAGGAAGTTAATTAACGCAAGAACACGGGGAGAGGATAAAAGAGCGGCGGTAGATTGGGAGAGTATTCGGAAAAGGAGCAGGGCGAAAGGAAGGGAGGAGAGAGGAGAGGAGAGAGGGAAGGAGGAGGGAGGGAGGGAGGGGGGAAGGAGAGAGGAGGGAGGAGAGAGAGGGGGAGAAGAGGGAGGGAGGAGGGAGGAGAGAGAGGAGGAAGGAAGGAGGGAAGGGAGGGAAGAGGGAGGAGAGAGAGAGAGAGATGAGAGAGAGAGAGGAAGCTGAGAGAGAGGGAGGAGGATAGAGAGAGAATGAGAGAAAGAGATTTGAGATGAGAGAGAGAGAGAGAGATGAGATGCAGAGGAGGGGGGTACGAGAGAGAGAAGAAGAAGAGAGAAGAGAAGAGAGAAGAAGAAGAGAGAGAGAGAGAGAGAAGAGAGAGAGAGAGAGAGAGAGAGAGATGAGAGAGAGAGAGAGAGAGAGAGAGGAGAGAGAGAGAGAGTTAGTTATGAAGGAGAATTATATCAGATCAGGGAAATGCAGAGAACGGAAATGCCGACAGAAAAATGCAGAATAATTGGGATAACGGACCGAGGAGGGAGAGGAGGAGAAAGAGAGTGGTAGAGAGAAACCGAGCGAGAAACGAGCAGAAAGAGGAGAAAGGCAAGGGAGTGGAGAAATCATGCGATAGAGACATAGTGACTGAGAGACGAACGGGAAAAAGAAAAAAAAAGACACAGAGAAAGAGAGCGTTAGTGGGAAAAAACGGAGAGAGGTAGAAGGGAATGAAGGGGGAAAGGATGTTTGATGGAATAAGCATGGAAGGAAAATGGAATTAGAACGGCTCTCGGCGAGGGCTTGGTGATCACAAGCGGGGGATCCTGACGAGAGAATGGAATTGTTCATGGGATAAAAATGGATGGAACAATTACTCAAAGAGGCGAGAGGAAGTGAGAAGGAGGAAGGGGGGGGGGGATGGGAGGGAGGCGAGGAGAAGGCAGGGAAGAAGGGAGGAAGGAAAGGAGGAATGGAGGAAAGAGAGAGGATGTCAGACAAGCGGAAGCACAGACAAAGGGCAAGGAAGGAAAAGACAGAGACAGGCGGAAAGGAACTGACAGACACAGACAGATAGAAATTAACCAAAAAACACAGACAGACAGAAACGAATCGAAAGACAGACATACGAAAATAAAGACAGACAGACAGAAAGGAACCAAAAGACACACGACAGACTAGACTAACAAACAGACAGACAGACAGATAAACAGAAAGACCCCCCCCCCAATCCACAAGACCCACCCCAAGACCTCCAAATCCACAAGACCCTACAAGACCCCCCCAAGAACCCCCAATCCAAAGACCCTACAGACCCCCCCAAGAACCCCCAATCCACAGACCCCAATCCACAAGACCCCACCCCAAGACCCCCCAATCCACAAGACCCCAAGACCCCCAATCCACAAGACCCCCCAATCCACAAGACCCCACCCAAGACCCCCAATTCCCACAAGACCCCAAGACCCCCCCAATTCCAGCACCCCCTAAGACCCCCCAATCCACAAGACCCCCCCGCCAAGACCCCCCAATCCAAAAGACGCCCCCAAAGACCCCCCAATCCACACAAAGAAGTTCGTGTTCAGCGGGACAAGACGACGAGGCGACGAGGCGACGAGCGACGAGGCGACGAGGCGACGAGAGAGGCGACGAAAACCGCCCGCGTCCAAAGTTATCCACGTCACCTGAGTCTCGGAAAGTTCACGTAATATCGGAAAGGAAGACGGGGAGGGTTAGAGGGGGGGTAGGGGGTGGAGTTGGGGTGAGGGGAGAGGGAGAGGGGGTTGATAGGGTTGGGGTTTGTGAAGGGGAGGGGAATAGGTGGGTTTAGAGGATGGGAAGGTAAGAGGGGTTTTCGTGAGGGTGGGGGAGGGGGGAGAGAATGGGGGTTAAGGGGGGGGAGGGGGTTGAGAGGGTGGGGGGTAATGAGGGAGGAGGGTTGATGGGTGGAGGGTAGGTGGGTTGAGAGGGTGGAAGGGTAAGGGGATTGTGAGGGGTGATGTTAAGGGGGTTTGAGGGTGTGGGAAGATAAGAAGGGGGTTGTGAGGTGGTGATGTATGGGTTTGAGAGGGTGGGGGTGAAGAGAGGGAGTTAAAGGGATGGAGGGAAGGAGTAATGGGTTGAGAGCGATGGAGGGTAGAGAGAAGTAGGAGGAAGGAGGGATAAGAAAGGAGCGGAGGAGGGGTTTTATGTAGATGAGGGGGCGGGAGGTGTGGGGGGGGGTGGGGTTATAACTCGCCAAGAGAAAGAAATGCAAAAACAACTTTTGAAAAAGTAGCTCTAAGCCCTAGCAGGGCCGCCATTGAATTCCGAACTTAACAGATATTTATCAGAGATTTTCTTTTACCTCCTCTCCTAAAAGCCCCCCCCCCCCTTCTCCTCCTCCCCTCTCCTTCTCTCCTCTCTCCTCTCCCTTCCTTCCTCTCCCTTTCCTCTCCTCTTCCTCCTCTCCTCCTCTCCTTCCTTCTCCCTCCTCTCTCCTTCCTCCTCCCCCTTCTCCTCCTCCCCGCCCCCTCACCTCCTCCTCCTCCCTCCTACTCCCCACTTCCTCCTCCTCCTTCCCTCTCCTCCTCCCCTCCTCTTTCTCCCCCCTTCCCCCTACCCCTTCTTCCTTCCCCGAAAAAGAAAAGTTTTACACCGAAGAAGAATTTTCTCATAGATCGGGCTTCGTATCGGTGGGGGAGGCGGGGGGGGGGTTAGGCTAAAGGGGTAAGGGCTGGGGTGGGTTGGTAGGTAAGTAAGGTAGGTAGGTAGGTAGGTAGGTAGGTAGGTAGGTAGGTAGGTGGTGGTAGGTAGGTAGGTAGGTAGGTAGGTAGGTAGGTAGGTAGGTAGGTAGGTAGGAAGGAAGGAAGGAAGGAAGTAGGGGAGGGGAAGCGTATCATACCCCCCCCCCACCACACACACCCTTCCCTTGAGCGTTATGTGTATGAAAGAGTGGAGTGAAAGAGGGAGAGAGAGAGAGAGAGAGAGAGAGAGAGAGAGAGAAAGAGAGAGAGAGAGAGAGAGAGAGAGAGAGAGAGAGAGAGAGAGAGAGAGAGAGAGAGAGAGGGGGGGGGTAGACAGACAGACAGACGTAAAAAAGGAGGAAGGAGTTCTCTCTCCATCTCATGACAGACGATCAACACAAGACTGCATCAAACACCCGTAATTTATTCAAATAAGCGAATCGCAAAATGTATTCCTGTCTTTTTTTTTTTTTTTTTTTTTTTTTTTTTTTTTTTTTTAAGTTCTTGGGAGATTGTTTTGTGTCGTCACGTAAATATTGGCTGAGGGAGTGGGAGACGGTGGATGAAAGGGGGAGGAGGAGGAGGAGGAAGAGAGGTAGGAAGAGGAAGAAAAGGGGGTGGGGGTAGGGGGAGGAAAAGAAGAAGAAAAGAGAAGAGAAGAAAAGAAAAGGGGTGGGGAGTAGGGAAGGACGAGAAGAAGCAGCAGAAGCAGGGGAGGAAGAAAAAGAAGAGGGGAAATGATAGAATAGGAAGAAGAAGAAGAAGCAGAGAGGTAGGGGAGGCGGAGGAAGAAGAGATAGGAAGCAAGACGAAGACGAGCAGTCGGAAGGAGAGAGAGAGAGAGAACGGGAGACAAAGACAGAATGAGAGCGAGAGCCAGATAGCGAAAGCGAAAGGGCGGAAGAAAACCGAAACAAGAAGAGGAGGGGGAAGGGAGAAGGGAGAGGAGAGGGAAACGGACGGATAAGATCGCTGGTAACTTCGACGATAAGATCTGGGCCGTTCTTTGCGCCGGGAAGACTCGAGCTGATAAAGGAAGGGAGAGAGGGAGGAGAAGGAGCGAGAGAGAGCGAGAGAGAAAGAGGGAGAAAATAGATTTTAAAGGCGAGTGTGAGACAGACGGTGTGAGAGAGAGGAAGAAGAGTGAGGAGTATAAGAGGACTTGAAATATTTGATTACTCTTAATATGACGATTTTTTTTTAAGTAATTACACGTAATATGTTTATAAGTGAGATCATATTTAAGAATTAATTATCCTTCTTTACCTCATTTGTTGTTATTATTGCTATTATTATTGTTATTATTATTATTATCTTCATTTTGATATTTGTGAATTTTAAAAGATCACTTTCGTCCGCCATGTTGTTTTTGCTTCCGTTTTCTGTTGGCTCTCGCATAGAAAACGGGATCCGGGGATTGGCATTCAAAAGCAATGGATTTGTGTTGTTTTTGTTTTCATATTTTTGTTTGTGCGAGGTTGTTTGATCTCTCTTTGCTCGCGTCCTTGGGAGAGATTGCAAAAGATAGCGAATATGTTGGTTTTGTTTGATTTTGAATTTGCTTTCGCGAATTTTATTGTTGTTGTTGTTGTTTTTATTGTTTGCGTTCGCGAATTTTATTGTTGTGTTGATGTTGTTGTTGTTGTTTTTTGTTTGCGTTCGCGAATATTATTGTTGTTGTATGATGTTATTGTTGTTGTTTTTATTGCAATAGTTGTTGTTGGTGGTGGTTATGATGTGACTGTGTATACTTGTCTTTATTTTAGTTCGAATTATTGGTATTATTATTATCACGATTATCATAATTGCTACTATTTTCAAGATCGTATCATCGGTATTATTCATTATTATTATTTTTATCTTCGTCATCGTGAATCCCTCCAAAGTCCGTGTCATCTTGGCCAGCCCTCAAGCCCGCCAGGTGGATGCGGGCGGGATGGGCGGGATGGGCGTGACGTCATTTTTGTTAGGCTGGGAATACGTATGGGATTTTTTTTTTCTTTTTTTTTTTAGAGGGGATAGATTTTTTTTTTTTTTTTTTAGCTTTATTCCGTTTTTTGTTTTATTCTTGTTTTGGTGGGTTTCGTTTCTTTTCTTTTATTATTTTTCTTTTCTTCATTTTTTTTTTTTTTCTCTCGATTTTGGGACATATTGGTTGTTTCCTTATCCCACCTCGTGCTCTTCCTCCTCCTCCTCCTCCTCCTCTTCTTCCTCTACCTCCTCTTGTCATTCTTCTGACGTGACATTCATGTCAGTGTCAGTCATTTTCCCAAAATCACACCCCCTCAAAAAAAAAACAAAAAAACAATAGCAATAAATTTCTTGAAAAGTAAAAAAAAAAAAAAAAAAAAAAAACGAAGGATGTTACAAAAACGTCTTAATTGAACTGTCTCGTCGGTTCCTAGAAAAAAAGATAGAAAATGAAAAAAAAAAAAAAAGAGAGACGTCTTCAATGAAAGATTTGTGGGCGGGAAATAAATCTGTTGACCCGGGCGTTCTCTCCAGCTCGGGTTTTATGTGACCCTCCGCCCGTGACACGAAAACCCCCCGATTTTATTGACCATTGTTTCGAAATCGGCGTTTGCAAGGGCGGGAAAGTGTCTCTTTAAGTGGGATTTAAACCTCTTTTTTTTTTTTTTTTTTTTTTTTTTTTTTTTTTTTTTTTTTGAGGGGGTGGGGGTAGGGAGGGGGAGGGAGGGAGGAGGGAGGGAGGGAGGGAGGGAGGGAGGAGGGCAGGTAGAGGATAAATCGAATAATTTTATTAAGTTTAAAGAATTATGAAGGCATAATTTGTGGAAGTGAGAGAGAGAGAGAGAGAGAGAGAGAGAGAGAGAGAGAGAGAGAGAGAGAGAGAGAGAGAGAGAGAGAGAGAGAGAGAGGAGAGGGAAGAAAAAGTGAGGTAAAAGCAGAGAGAGAGATTAGAGAAAGAGAGAATAGAGAGAAAGGAGAACAGATTCTGAAGACAAAATCTCCCATTATTTATACATACTTTTTCGTCCCACCTTGTTATTCTATAGAAGTGCCTTTCCCACAAGATTTTTTTTTCCCCCCCTCTCAACATTCTTCTCCTCTCTTTCTCTCCCTTCTTTTTTCTTTTCTTTTTTTTTTTCTCTCTCTCTCTCTGTCTCTTTTCCTTCATCAGCCTTCACCGTAAATTTCCTTCCTCTCTCTTTGCCCAAATAGTTCAGCCCATTGCATTCCTCCGGGGGCGCCAAACGAGGTTGTTAGAGGTTAAAAGGTCCTCCCTTTTCGCGCCGGCGAACCTCAACACATAGAGAACGGGGGGGGGGGGAGGGGCGGAATGAAAGAAAAAAATATGGAGGAGGGGGGGTGGGAGATGGAGGGTTGGAGAGGAAGGTGGGTGGAGGGGTGGGGGAGAAGGGGGAAGGGGTGGGAGAGAAAGGTGGGGAAGGGGAAGCTGAAGGCGGAGGGGGGGAGGATGGGAGAGGAAGCTGGGGGAAGGAGGAGGCGGGGGTAGGGTGGGAGAGGAAGGGGTAAGAGCGGAGAGTTGGGGGGGAGAAACTAGGATGGGGGGGGTTGAAGAAGGGTCGAATGGTAGATATGGATATAGGGGATGGGATTTTATTTCGGTTGGGGAGGGAGAAAAGTGAAAGGGGAGAAATTAAAGAAGAGGGGGGAGGGGTGTGGAGACTCGGGAGTGTGTGTGTGTGGGGGGGGGGGTTGGTGAAATGACGGAACGGCCATCTTGGGAAACGGAGGGAGGGAAGGGGAGAGGGGAGAGGGGAAGGGGAAGAGAGGAAGGGAGAGGGAGAGGGAGGGGAAGGGGAGAGGAGAGAGGGAGGGGAAGGGGAGAGGGAGGAGGAAGGGAGAGAGGGAGGAGAAGGGGTAGGGGAGAGGAGGGGGAAGGGAGAGAGGAGGGAAGGGGAGAGAGAGGGAGGGGAAGGGGAGGGGGAGAGAGAGAGAAGGGAAGAGAAGAAGGAGGGAGGGAGAGAGGGGGAGAGGGGTAGGGAGAGGAGGG